GRWTTTTTCCCCTCAGATCATCATGTACCTGCTGTCCCGGATCCTGTTTGGCCTGGCTCGGCTGGCAGTGGACAAGGGCTACATCCCCCAGCCCAAGCAGGATCCCTTCCCTCTCGTGGCTGCCCTGGTGTGGGGGACAGTGCTGTGGCTCTTTGAGTACCACAAGGAGACCCTGCAGCCCTCCCTGCAGTCCTCCATGACCTACCTGTACGAGGACAGCGAGGTGTGGCACGACCTGTCTGATTTCCTCATTTACAACAAAAGGACAGACAGCAAGTAGGTGCTTCTTGTCTAACGCCTCGGAATGGGATGGGACCTCCCAGCAGCTGAGGGAAAAGGCTATTCTGTTGCTCTTGACCTTGTGATTTTTTWAAATTWACATCTATCAAGCAGAGTTGGCTCTTATCTGCAGGCCAAAATGTTCTGATCAGTCTTTTGGCTCCTTTTAGAGCAAGCAGATGCCCCACTGAAACTTGTTGCAGTCTTTTTGAAGAGGCCTTATTTTCCCTACKAGTATGGCTTTGGGGTTTGTTTTTAAAAACTTAATATTTTTTATAAAATGACAGCCTGACACTAAATGGAGAGTACGAAAACGTGTTCTAGAGCTGATCTGAATGTTTACAAGCAGTTTTTTCTGTGCTGCTGTGCTCACTGTGGTGTGATGCAGGGGTGAAGGGAGTGGGGGATCTGCTGAGCTCTGAAAGCACAACCATCATTTCTTGTTTTGCTGGAAGTCCTGTATAAGCTATTACAAGGACAGTTGTGTGCTCCTTGAGAGAGTTCCTCTGGAGTTTTCCCTCAGGGAGAACAAAATATGTGAGAATGAAACAGTTAAGGTTGTCTTGTGCCAGCCTGTAAATCAGGCTTGGAAAGATTATTTGTGCTTGGTTTCTTTCATGCACTTGGGCCGAATCTGTGCCTCTGCAAAGTGCATCAGTGAATATCCTGTAATTATTTTAAACTTATTTGTAAAGCTCTTAAAAGCTTGAACTAAATACCAAAAACAGTTACACAACTTGGGCTCCTCTACAGCCAGGCCTCAGATTTTGTCCTGAGGACTTTGTGTGTCCAAGGGAGCAACGTTTAACGAGCACTTTTTATTTTGGTGCAGCATGAAAAGGGTTTGCCTGAGGTCCACAATCTGCCCTGCACAGCAGTGGCACGTGTTGGCTGTAACCAGTTTTGAATCTGATTTTGTAGTTTGTGCAGGCTCATTGCTGAGCCAGGCTGAGGCCATTAATTAATTTATTAATCATCTTCCTGTCCAAAACACACTGCTGAGCCCCAGGATAGGGCAGCATGCCCTGGGCTGTGGCAGGAGACTGACTAGATAGCTGAGAAAGCACAAAAACTACTTYCATTAATAAATTATTAAATTAATAAATTAATAAATTCACACTCAATAATGCGAGGCACTCACACTGCCACATAACACTAATTCCTGACACTGGTTTGATGTGATGACATTTCCAAGAGAATCACTGAATTCCCTGTTCCTTTTTGGCTCAGTTGGGACTGTTTTGTTCACTTTCCCTGTATCCACCTGCTTTTTCCTGACCTGCCCATGTCATTGCATAATCCTGCTGATGCTGTCTGCATCATCTTTTGAACTCTAYCCTCCAGGCTATGGCTATTTCTCCTATTCAATGCTATATTAAATGTACACCTGAAACAGTACATTTAACTTCTGTGTGCTTCTGAGTAGAAAAAAGTTCTCAATTTCTTCTTAAAAGTAATTTTTCCTTGTCCTCCTAAACTCCTTTATGACTGTCGCACATATTCAGAATGCTTTGCTTTTGATTTTTCCACYTTGCTCTTTATTTTTCCACTTTTCTTTGAACTCRTGTCRTKCAAATCCATGATGTACATGGTGCCCAAAACCAGGSTACTTCTTTGTCATAATAACTGTCTATGATCCCTTTAATTTCTAATTTCACCTGCTATTACAGTCTGGACTGAGCATTTGGATTGGAACATCCCCCAGTATTTAATCAGACCSCAGGAAAGCTGCAAAATTAGGAATTGGGTTTGTTTGTTTTGGTTAAATATTTTTCTCTGTGTAGATAAGCATAAAGATTCARTATAGAAAAATTGCTGTAGCTACAGGTGAGATTCTTTATAAACATCTTTATTTCCACCACTGCTGGGTGTTTAAAGCATCRCAATTTTTCTGTCAGAAGCCTCAATATTGTTCCAAATAAGGGCATTGGTATTCTGCTAATATTGCTGAATTCCTAMAAGCTTTGATGGGATTTCAGAAAACCCTTCCACAAGCTGACAGCTGTGGCTTGGGAATTTCTCCCTAAAACTATTAAACTCCCAAATCCTTGACCATGTGTAATTATTGCAGTAGAAGATGCTGTAGGCTGGTTCTGTGAGCTGGGTGTCTTTGAGAAGGTTTTGATCTGTTTAATTTGTAGCTGGTATTTCTTTCTCTGAGAGAGGCTTGTGATGCCCGTAGAGGTGGAATAATTTTCCTCTGCTGAGAATTTTTTAAAATTAACATCTGTCAAGTGGAGTTGGCACTTGTCTCCAGGCCAAAATGTTCTGATCAGTCTTTTGGCTCATTTTAGAGCAAGCAGCACCCCACTGAAACTTGTTGCAGTCTTTTTCAAGAGGCATTGTTTTCCCTATGAGTATGGCTTTGGGGTTTGTTTTTAAAAGCTTAATATWTTTATAAAATATAAATATATTGACATCARGTAGGGAGTGTGTGTCTGTGGCTGCTGTGACTGCTGGTGAAGCACCACRAGAAGGACAAGTGGCCTTTGCTGATCTTCTCAYTGCTGTAGAATATCYTGTSCTCTCTAGAAAACAAATCCCAATGCCCRGAATCAGCCTGMCAGCAGTGACATGACTTGTCCTCGGTTCAAAACCCCCTTTTTCTCTTGGGAATCTCCCACTTTCTAAGCAAACTGTTCCTTCCATCTGCACCCGAGCTGCAGGAGGCAGCTGCCATCCCTGGAAGCCGCAGCTCCTCCCGGGAGCGCAGCCTTTGGGAGCTGCCTGACCGTTGGTTTTCCTGCTGTGCTGGGCCAGCACAAGCTGCAAGTCACTGCTTTCCCCAGGGAAGTAATTGGGACAGTTCCTTAATGACATCAACCCCACTGGCTGTTCCTGGGACCAGATAGCCGGGGATGAGCCCCTTCTGCTGCCAAGGTGTTGGAACAATGCAGGCGTGTAGTAGGGAAGTGAACTAGAAGTAATTTGTCTGAGTCAGACTTTTGGGAGATGTAAGTGACACCCCCTGCCCTCCCCCAGGGCATTGTGTGGGGAATTGAGTGCCCTGTTTGGGTTCCTTTTTTATTAGCATTAAAAGCAAAAGAAATAAAGAGACAGTTGGGAAGCCACCTGCGAGTCGGCCAAGTGCTTAAGAATCACAAAGAAGGGCCATGTTCYCCCYCCAGCCCCGACTGGTTTTGAATTTTAAGATGAACATGGGGTTGTTTGTCTACAACTTTATTTTTCCTTGTTATTTCTTCCTTGACACCTGACTGATGCTGAGTGCCTCTAAAGAGGAGCAGAGTGTCTCAGTCTTAGCTCAGTTTGTCAAAAGTTAGAATCRCTGGATAAAATCAAAATGCTTAAAATGATGCTTCTTACTCAGATTCYCAGCCTCTCTTAGAGGCAGTTTTAAAGGTTAATGAATCAAACTGATCAAAAGTTTTCAGCAAGCCTGAGCWTTTCAAGCAGCCTGACTATCCTGGGCTATGAATCATTTATTTTATGAAGGAACAAAGCAGGCTCAGGGTTATTTACTGCCGCTGCCTGCTGCCCTGGCATACCCACTGTGCTTCCCTTCCCTTTGGAGGACAGCTTGTGTGCTGGGGCTGGCTCTGGRGCTGGCTGGAGAAYGCTTTCCGGGACAATTACATTATTTAACAAAGRTGAGAATTACACAGCTGCCTGACATTTGGGTCAGAGAAGGTTTTCTGTGCTRTGTTTGATGCTGGCAGTGCAGGGGAGGATATTTCTGAAAGGAAAACCTGTGTTTGTTCTGTCAGTGCTGCAGAGAAGGGCTCGAGGAGGCTGCTGCAAGGTGGGAACCTGTCTGTAGTGTGACAGTGGGATTTGTCCTGGCCACCATCCCTGTGTCTGTGCAATTACCACAGAAACGTCCCTGTTTAGGGCATTTATCATAAAATCATGGAGTAGTTCTGTTTGGAATGGACCTTAAAAACCATCCCACCCCTGCCATGGCAGGGACACCTTCCACTGTCCCAGGCTGCTCCCAGCCCCGTCCAGCCTGGCCTTGGGCACTGCCAGGGATCCAGGGGCAGCCACAGCTTCTCTGGGCACCCTGTGCCAGGGTGGCAAAGCTGCAGAGAAGCTTTGATATTGGTGCTGTGAGACTTCCCTGCCCTGCTAAAGTCGGTCAAGCTCTGTTTTGAACCGAGCTGGGTGTGGGTAGAAGCGCAGGGATGATCCCTGGCTGGTGAAAGAGCCCCAACTCAGGCTCCATGGGGTCCCCCTGTGCACACTGGGCTCTGCAGCCAGCCAGGAGCTGCCATGGAAGGCTGCTGGTGGAGGAACCCGAACCCTGTGCAGATCCCTCACCCCAGAGGAACTGCTGGGACTCCCAACTCATTTTSCCTGCATCAGCACTAAGGTGACCTTTGGATAATACCCCGAGCCGTGTGCTGCTCCCTATTTGTCAGGCTGTGTTTGTCATCCTGGCTTATGCCAGCCTGAGCAGAATGTRTTCTGTGATGCTGCCTCTGAAACCCAGCAGATAAGGGAGGAGGGAAAATAAGGTGCAATGTCTGTCTGTCACTGTTAATATTTTTGGTGTGTTAATCTTGAGTTTTCAACCTGTGTGTTCCTACCAGATTGGTGGAGGAGGTAACCTTTTTCTTTATTTAGAAGGCTTTTCATGTCTCTGGTGATAAGGAGGGAGAAAAACAAACTAAAAACTTTATAATACAAATGTTATTACCTCTGCTTTTGATATATAATTTCTGTTCATAATCACTGTGTAATCCAGGCTCTGATTTTGTGACAGTGTAGAATAAAGTAAAAAAAACATAAACTCAGGTAACTTGTGTGGCACTGATCAGAATGCTGGTAGAAATATCTCAGTTTTGGGGTTTAAAAAAGTAAAAAGAGGGGGCAGTGTGTTGTTGATGTAGTGCTGTCAACTATAAATTGCCTTGTCAATATTTCTGTATAATCACTCTTTGAATATCACAATACTGTGCTTTCTCTAAGAATAAAAGACCTAAWTTTTTGTCCTTTTTTACTGTCATCATTTTTAAACTAAAGTATTTGAAGCAATGCTTGAATATTGCTTGTCTGTAGTGCTGGATGTAGAGAAGCCATGCACAAGGTGCATTTTTGGCGTTGCTTGTGCTCCACCTTGGAGACAACATCAGACTGAAATCCTGCAGGGGTAAAGATCCCAACTCAGAAACAAATTGGGATGGCTGTCACCGCCCCTCCCCCCCCCCCCCCCCCCCTTTTTTTTTTTTTAAATTAAACATGACATACAAAAATAGGGAAAATAAGGATGTCTTTGGATGATTTTTCTGCCTCTTCCAAGGTAAAAGTTCAGAGGGAACATGCTGTAGAGGTGACTGCTGTGGTCATGAGGATGAAGCAATCCCTGAGTGTCTGTWAGAGCAAACCTCCACCTTTGTAGATGGAATACTGGAGTGTCCAACCTGTGCCCATGAGRACAAAATTAACACCTCCACACTGATGCCAGTCCCACCTTCAAGTGGCTTTTTCCTCCTCACAAAGCTCACATACTCTGAGCCCTTGTTCTGCTCCAGGTGAAGCTCTGGGTGACCTATAGGGGTTTTTTTTTCTGGCACTTTAGCTGTGTTTTGGGTTCTCGGTGTCAGTGACCATACCCTGAGCCTGCTGGGAAGTCAGCTTGGCCTGGCTGGAGACACTAAAGCTTGGCATATTCCCAAATCACACTTCAGCCTCTCCATTCCTCAGTAGGGCTGGAGTGAAGGAAATGGGAGAGTCTTGTGGAATGGAGTGGATTTTAGTGTTTGGTGCTCTGGAGGCTGAGACAAGACTGCCCCGGCTGGGTGTGAAGGGCAGAGCAGKAGGGGAATGGGCTCCGTGCCCATCTCTGCCACTGAGAGGCTCTCTGTGGTGTGAGCTTTAAAAACAGATGCCACCGTGTGAGGGGAGGAAATCACACTGCTGAGTCTGCTGTRCCCAGCACCCCAGAGAGGAGCTGGCCTGGTGTCCTGGTGCAGGCTTCTGTAAAGATGCAAGGCACTGCCTGGATTTTGGGATTGGGGTGAGGAGGAGGCACCTAAACCAGGGCTGTGCCCTTCTGCCACGGGCCAGCTTYAGATTTTCAATKTGTGCCACCAGAAAATGGCTTTGGTTCCCGGAGAACAGCAGTGGGGGCTCAGGTGATGGAGGTGGGGGGCAG